TATCACTTCATACGCTGAGTTTCACTGAAACAGGTAAACTCTACTTCACCTGTACCATGGACTGTCAAGTGCCGCACTTTGCTTTATTTACTAGAAACGTTTGCTTAAGGTGGCGTGGCTTGGCAGTAGGGTGCTAGACCACTCACCCAAAAAGTTCAAGTCAGTAGAACGTCCCTGAGTCTACCCAACTCTGAAGGGTACCTTACTTAAGTTAGCCATAGGTGGCTGGGCATAGAGCTGACTATGCCTTCAAAGGCCGAGGTCTCTGAAACAGATGAACTCTACTTCATCTGCCCAATGTGTCTTGGGCACGAACGGGAAAAGATGACGATGAACGTTTGCTTGAGTGTGTTTAAAAAAAAATTATATGTGTAAGCTAGTTGTGAACAAGCTATTCACACAACCAAAAGTAGAAATTTACAAAAATAATAAAACGTAAATTCAAAAGCAGAGCTATGTAACATTATTCTTTGACCTTCCTATATATCTAACTAAATATCCCATTTTGATAAATCAAACCATTTCCCCTTATAATTTGAGAACCACAGTACGTTCGTTGAAGTAAACAGACATTTTTTCAGGAAATTCATTCACAAATATTATTATCAATTCAACGTAACAAATATAAGGCTCACAAACAGAAGAGAATTTTTTTCTTATCTATGCGCAGAGGCGTCGCGAGGCGGGGCGGGGAGTGCGGACTGCACCGGGTGACACCATTTAGGAGGGTGACACCAAAACAAAACAAATTGCAAGATTTATTGAAAAAAAAAATTTGCAAGTTATTCTTTCTTCATCGTTCTTAATTTTAGTGTTGAAAGTATTAAGTATACCTGTCAACTTCTTTTTAATCCACACTTTCTTTTTGTCTTCTTCTTCGTACTTAATTTTAGTGTCGGAAGGGATTCCCTCCAACACAATTAAGTATACGTGTCAACTGGTTATGCGCCGTTGAGGCCATTGACTCAGATTTCAGCCTGCTTTTCTTTTTGGATTCGCTTCCATAGCCATTGTCCAACCAAGAACAAACTACAAGGCAGCAGTTGTTTGAATTTGGAGGGTTCGAACTCGACACTTTTCAGTTTAGCAACCATGAGCTTTACCGACTCGACCACACCTTTGCCAGTTCAATGAATGGCTAATTAGAGTTTAAAAAAGTATTTTAAGTACATACTTATGATCCCGACAAGGGACGGGTGGGTGACACCATGACGTAAACACGTAAACTATATAGAAAACAATGCTACACCCAGCTATATTAACAAAGACTGCAGATAAACATCATTAATATCAAATGTGAACAGTTTAAAGCTTTTACAGGGGTGGGTGGTTGACACCAACTTCAAAATTTACATAAAAGAATAAGGGGGGGTGACACCATGAGGCGCCGCACCGGGTGACACCCCACCTAGCGACGCCACTGTCTATGGGACTTTTTCAACTGACTATTTTTTTCTTTGTTTTTTTTTTCTTATCAGCCTATAAGTGCAATACAGAAATCTCAAGTCTGTTAACTGACGTCATAAAGAAGTCCATCTATTTTGGTCGATTTTACGTTTTTTTTACTTTCTCGTATATACGTAGTATAGAGAAAGTATTGTAATCGTGCAAAAAAAAAAATCGAGATTTTTACAAATCTCGACGTTTTACACCTCACTGATACGGAAAAACATAATTTTGCAATCTTGTCCGTATGTCTGTGTGTGTGTGTGTCTGTGTGTGTGTCTGTCCGTGTGTAAACACGATAACTTGAGTACCGTTACAGCTAGGTTGATGAAATTTCATATATAAGTATTTTATCAAAATCGTAGATCCGTATCAACTTTTGAGCGATTTCCGATAACCGGAAGTGGTACTTTTCCTACTTTGAATTTTTTAAAAGCCTATAACTTCAGTACTATTTCAGATAGATAAATGAAATTTCACATGTAAGTAAAAGATCTAATTCTCTACCTTCTGTTAAATTTTGAGTAATTTCCGTTGACTGGAAGTAGTAATTTACGCTACTTCCGATTTCTCAAAAAACTAATGTAAATTTTTAAAGTACTAATAATATTGCGCACTATTATGCGCTTTTTTTATTTGCGTTCACTTGGTGTGCAATTAATTTGTCTACGAGATTTTATTCTATTTTTAAAACTTTAAGTATTTAAAATGGATTAAAAATCATGTCTATAGCCCGAGTTTCCATCCCCTGTTATTTTATATAAGAATATTCGAGAAAGTTTAGGGGAGATCACTCCCGGTTTATTTTTTCTAAAGTCACAATATTTTACCTTGGATGAGTGTGTGGGTGGATTTGTAATCGATTCTTGTAACTCAAATTTGACAAATTTCTAATAAATTCGGCATATAAAAAATATAATAGTTCAACTAAATTAACATGGTCTGCAAGTATTAAGTAAAGACTCCTCTTCAGATCTAGCAACACATTGGGCAGATGAAGTAGAGTTAATGTTTCTTGACCTGGGCGTATGAGGGAAAGGTGTGGTTAACACTTTGCTCAGCCTCTTTTACTATTTAGTGACGGGTGAAGACTTCCTGAAAGACATAGTTCTCCAAAAGGGGTGGGTGGGTATACACTGTTACGCATGACTGGAGAGCAAGGAAGGAGGACGGGAGGAGGGTTAGAAAGTCGGCGTGCGTGCATGGTGTCCCGAATGGTTGGGCGACGTAGAGAATTATATATATATATATATATATATATATATATATATATATATATATATATATATATATATATATATGAGCCGACCCGCTGCGTATTATACGCCGCTATTGAGTTGTTTTCTTTTCTACTTTTCAATAATGCATAATTTGTGAATTCGACAGTACCAATGCTGCCACTGAAAATATTTGCTTTCAAAACACTATCAGTAGGTCGTTAAGGACGATACTACCCCCACCCTCCTTTCCCCCAACACCTACCCTACACCCCCCCCCCCCGCCTGTGAAAGCAGCCTCCTCTTAGTTACCTCCCCTAAGTTTAAAATCGTTTCAAAGTAAATTATCTGCCCCTAAAAGCCGTCACTAAACCCGGTACTACGATTGTAAACATTTAGCGTGAACCACAGCTCACCAGACCATGTAGGGGTGGGGTGGTAGGGAGCGCGCTTACAGCTTGGTGTTTTCTAGCGTCTCCAAGAAGAGAATTTTATATATATATATATATATATATATATATATATATATATATATATATATATATATATATATATATATATATATATATATATATATATATATATATATATAGATAGATATTACATAATAAATATAACAAAACCTAATCCTACAACTTTTTTTGGTACCACTAACTTGTGTATGTATGTATTTTGTTTTTGTAATATTTATTTATTTTCTATTTAACGAACACAAAAAATGCCAATTTTAAAGAACTTTTTATTAATAAATAAAATAATTCTAAAAAAAATTGATTAGAACATGTACGTTTTTTATCGCTTTATAAGATCAATAATATGTTACAGTAATGGTGTTTGTTTTACTAGTGAAAGATAGACCATTAAAGATTAATTGTTTTACTGTTGAAAGTTTTGTAGTTTTTAAAATTAAAGCGTTAGGCGGATCAGATTATTCTGGTTAGATAGCTGGCTAATCAAATGGTTGGTTGGTCAGATGGTTGGATGGTCAGATGGTTGGATGGTCAGATGGTTAGATAGCTGGCTAATCAGATGGTTGGCTAATCAGATGGTTGGTTGGTCAGATGGTTAGATGGTTGGCTAATTAGATGGTTGGTTGGTCAGATGGTTGGATGGTCAGATGGTGTGATGGTTGGATGGTCAGATGGTTGGCTGGTTGGTTGGTTGGTTGGCCTCTCAGATGGTTGGTTGGTCAGATGGTTGGATGGTCAGATGGTTGGATTGTCAGATGGTTGGCTGGTTGGTTGGTTGGTTGGCCTCTCAGATGGTTGGTTGGTCAGATGGTTGGATGGTCAGATGGTTGGATGGTCAGATGGTTGGTTGGTTGGCCTCTCAGATGGTTGGTTGGTCAGATGGTTGGATGGTCAGATGGTTGGCTGGTTGGTTGGTTGGTTGGCCTCTCAGATGGTTGGTTGGTCAGATGGTTGGATGGTCAGATGGTTGGCTGGTTGGTTGGTTGGTTGGCCTCTCAGATGGTTGGTTGGTCAGATGGTTGGATGGTCAGATGGTTGGCTGGTTGGTTGGTTGGTTGGCCTCTCAGATGGTTGGTTGGTCAGATGGTTGGATGGTCAGATGGTTGGCTGGTTGGTTGGTTGGTTGGCCTCTCAGATGGTTGGTTGGTCAGATGGTTGGTTGGTCAGATGGTTGGCTGGTTGGTTGGTTGGTTGGCCTCTCAGATGGTTGGTTGGTCAGATGGTTGGATGGTCAGATGGTTGGCTGGTTGGTTGGTTGGTTGGCCTCTCAGATGGTTGGTTGGTCAGATGGTTGGATGGTCAGATGGTTGGCTGGTTGGTTGGTTGGTTGGCCTCTCAGATGGTTGGTTGGTCAGATGGTTGGATGGTCAGATGGTTTGACGGTCAGATGGTTGGATGGTTAGATGGTTGGATGGTCAGATGGTTGGTTGGTCAGATGGTTGGATGGTCAGATGGTTGGATGGTCAGATGGTTGGATGGTCAGATGGTTTGACGGTCAGATGGTTGGATGGTTAGATGGTTTGACGGTCAGATGGTTGGATGGTCAGATGGTTGGATGGTCAGATGGTTGGATGGTCAGATGATTGGATGGTCAGATGGTTTGACGGTCAGATGGTTGGACGGTCAGATGGTTGGATGGTCAGATGGTTGGATGGTTAGATGGTTGGATGGTCAGATGGTTGGTTGGTCAGATGGTTGGTTGGTCAGATGGTTGGTTGGTCAGATGGTTGGATGGTCAGATGGTTGGATGGTCAGATGGTTGGTTGTTAGTTGGTTGGATGGTGTGATGGTTGGATGGTCAGCTGGTTGGCTGGTGTGATGGTTGTTTGATCAGATGGTTGGTTGTTAGATGGTTGGATGGTGTGATGGTTGGATGGTCAGATGGTTGGTTGATCAGATGGTTGGTTGGTCAGATGGGTGGCTGGTCAGATGGTTGGATGGTTAAATGGTTGGCTTGATCAGATGGTTGGCTGGTCGTTTGTTAGCAGTGAGCTATCCTCTGAACTCGTGTCCTGGTTTTTAGCTTTGAGTTTCTTGTAACTTTTCAGCGAGAAATATTTCTCACTCTCCTCGCCAAATCTGGGCATCTGTGGAATAGGGGACACACAATTCTAGTTACAACAGCCTGCCGGTATATAGATCTAACAGATTGATGTATTTAGTGAGACCTTACAGGGGAAACGTGTCGGGCGGTGTGGCCTATTTGTAGAGCGCTAGACTGCTAACCCGAAACTCTCGAGTTCGAATTCGGGTAGAAGTCAGTAGAACTTTACTGAGTCTTCCCAGTTTTGATGGGTACCCAACTCAAGTTAGGGAAAGGAAAAGAGGCTGGGAAGTGTTGATCTCACTATCTCTTCCTGAGGTCACAGAAACATGTGAACACTACTTCACGGACCGTCAGGTTATAAAATGAACTTTACTCATTTACGAGGTGGGGAAAAAAAGTAATAATTCAATGCTAATAAATCGTGAACACATTTTTAATACTGTGTGCATGAACACTGATGCTCTGTGTAAATAGTAAACCTAACCTTTGTTTCAACATCCATCTACAGCTCTATCTATACACTGATACACTCTAACCTTAAACTCAATTTTAACCCAAATCTAATCTCTAGCATAATATTTTTAATTTAGAATTTTTCTAAACCGGCCTTAATTTTTATGTCATATTCAAAGAGGCTGGTCTTTCGGGCATCTCTTCTACCCCCCCCCCCCCCTTTTCCCCACTTCACCCCAACGAAATAAAATTTATATAGAAAATACTTACTTTTCCAGTGTCAGGCCCTCCCCCCTCCCATGGAAAATTTAGACCCCCCCCCCCATTTAAAGTTTCAAGTGTCACCCCCCCCCCCCTTCCTCCCTCACCGGAGGAAAAAGTCTGTAAAAAAAACCTGATTTAAACCTTTTAAACCTAACAAAATAATATATAAACTCCCGAAATTATATAAACCCTAGTGGGGCAGTTTTGAAACGCCAGCAATGGCTGATACAGACCTCTTTAGAAAAAAAAAAACTAAATGTTAAGTAATGATAAATACTTTGATTAGAAAACCACACAAATCTATATTAACATCAGGTTGATACACACGATTAAAATAACAAAATACCAATTACACGTCAGCATGCATTTTAAAAATCACACACAAAAAAATACTATTTAAGTGTTCGTTTACTTCATTCAACACAAATATGTATTGACTAGTCAATTTGTTTTACGCTATAGAGGCCACTGACTCCGAATTCAGCCTGCTTTTCTTTTTTTTTTATTGTCTCCCATAGCCGTGTCCAACCACGAACAAACTACAAGGCAGTTGTTTAATTTTGGAGAATCGAGCCTCATCTGGCCCGGATTCGAACTCGTGGCCTTTCGATTAAGCAACGATGAGCTTAATCGACCAGACCACGCCGACCTCAAATTATCCATCAATATATAAGGTGAAAAATATTTTTTTCTGACCTTGATGTGAACCTTTAACCTTATCCTCAAGGTGACGTAGACCATGGCGTAGAGCAGAAGACTGATCACAAGGTTGGCCAGAAGGTGAAGGCCGAACATGGCCTTGACATATGTGACGTTGTTGGGGTCAGTCCTGTCCAGGTTTGAAGCCTCGCCCCCTGTCAAGTAAAACATTTATGTAGAGCCCAGACAATGGGTTGAGTTTTGTATGTCCACATAATATCCACGATAATCACAGCCTTCACTTATCTCGGAACCGATCCTGACCTTGACTTACTAGTAAATCGATCGTGACCTTGGCTTACCTGGAAAACGGTCGTGACCTTGACTTACTATTAAATCGATCGTGACCTTGACTTACTAGTAAATCGATCGTAACCTTGACTTACCTGGAAACCGGTCGTGCACGTACAGCATGAAGGCCACATGTAAGAACCACGTGCCCAGCGTGAGTACTCCATAAGACCTGACGACCATCGTCCAGACGCCTTCCCTCCATTTGATCTCCAGCAAAACTGGAAAATAAGACATAAACTGGAACATAGGACATAAACTGGAACATAGGACATAGACTGGAACATAGGCCATAAACTGGAACATAGGACATAAACTGGGATATAGGACAAAGTAAAACTGGGAAATAAGACAAACTGGAATATAGGACAAAGTAAAACTGGGAAATAAGACATAAACTGGAATATAGGACATAAACTGGAACATAGGACATAAACTGGAATATAGGACATAAACTGGAACATAGGACATAAACTGGAACATAGGACATAAACTGGAACATAGGACATAAACTGGAACATAGGACATAAACTGGAACATAGGACATAAACTGGAACATAGGACATAAACTGGGACTTAGGACATAAACTGGAACATAGGACATAAACTGGGATATAGGACAAAGTAAAACTGGGAAATAAGACAAACTGGAATATAGGGCAAAGTAAAACTGGGAAATAAGACAAACTGGAATATAGGACAAAGTAAAACTGGGAAATAAGACGTAAACTGGAATATAGGACAAAGTAAAACTGGGAAATAAGACATAAACTGGAATATAGGACAAAGTAAAACTGGGAAATAAGACATAAAATGGAACATAGGACAAAGTAAAACTGGGAAATAAGACATAAACTGGAATATAGGACAAAGTAAAACTGGGAAATAAGACATAAACTGGAATATAGGACAAAGTAAAACTGGGAAATAAGACATAAACTGGAATATAGGACAAAGTAAAACTGGGAAATAAGACATAAACTGGAATATAGGACAAAGTAAAACTGGGAAATAAGACATAAAATGGAACATAGGACATAAACTGGAACATAGGACATAGTTAAACTGGAATTTAGGACATAGTTAAACTGGAATATAGGACAGAGTTAAACTGGAATATAGGACATAGTTGAAGTGGAATATAAGACACAAACTGGAATATAGGACATAGTTAAACTGGAATATAGGACATAGTTAAGCTGGAATATAGGACATAGTTAAACAGAAATAGAAAACAAAATGATATTTAAACCCGCTAGTAAAGATATATGGCTTTAAATAGCAAAACTAAATGAGTCTTAAATCAACTAGTGATAATGTCCTTAAGTATAACAGTACAGTATTAGCGAAAATGGGTGGCCTTAAATAGTAAAACTACTACAGGTTTAAAACTACTGGCCAATAAAAAGTAAAAGAGGTTTAAACCTAATGGATAATATAAGAGTACAATAGGTTAAAACCTACAGGCCAAAATAAAAGTAAGAGGTTTAAACTTATTGGCCAATATAAACGTAAGAGGTTTAAACTTACTGGCCAATATAAAAAGTACAAGAGGTTTAAACCTCCTAGCCAATAAATAGTACAATAAGTTTAAACCTACTAGCAAATATAAAAGTACAAGAGGTTCAAACCTACTAGCAAATATAAAAGTACAAGAGGTTTAAACTTACTGGCCACTATAAAAGTACAAGAGGTTTAAACCTACTGGCCAGGCTGATCATGAACATGACGTAGATGGGCAGGATGTGAACGATGGTCTCGACTGGTTCCTTGCCGTGCATGCTGGCGTGGTAGTAGAACGCCACGCCGTACCACATGAAGGACAGGAAGGCCGTCAGGTAGTTGAAGTCTGGTGGGGAAGAAATTAAATTCTACATCAATTAGCTAATTAGTTTTTTGTTGTTTGTTTGTTTTAAAGTTGATTTAAAATCCATTATTTTGTGTAGTGGATGTTTATAAGAATAAAAGGGTTATGGAACGGCGTGGTCGAATTGGACTGAGAACACGAAAAGTATAGAGTTCGAATCCTGAGCTCGAATTCGTGAGTTCACCCAGCTCTGATGGGTACCTGACTCGCGTTAGGGAAAGTAAAGACGGCTTTAGGTAAACTCTACTTTATTTGGCCCACGCACCGTCAGGCTCAAAAGGGTACTTTACTGTACTTATAGGAAAATGAGACAAAAACAAAAGTGATTTCTTGTTCTCGCTAGTTTCAGCACACGTTTAATTTTGTAATGGCAATCAAGTCTGATAAACTTTGATTCAAGTTTTGGTAACAATATAATTCTTATCTCAAATCATCATTTGTTGGTCGGAGTAATAAGACAATAATGAAATAAAGCGAGGTAACTTCAATTTGACACAATAGCACTATTTTTACGCAGTTATGTCCCATTGATTAAAATGTTATCTCACAAATACTTTAAACAATTTTTGGAAAATAAATAATGAAAACATGCTTGCGGCGACAGAGTGCTGAACTGGTCCTTATGAATATGTGCTTAGATGGTTTTTGTGACATTTACAGTAAGAAATGCTTTCGTAAAGAAATATTTTTTTCATGGAAATACTCCTGACATAAAAAAAATAACTATGATTACAAATGTGAAATAATTATTCCAAACTATATTCATGCAAGACAGTGAAAATTAAGTATGGTGGTCGGATGGTAGAACGTACACCTGCTAACTCGAGTGTCTCAAGTTTGAAGGTCACTGAGTGACGTAAAGGAAAGTAAAGTCGGCTGGGCAAACAACACTATCCTTTTAAATGCCGAGGTCATTGAAACAGGTGAACTCAATACTTCACCGTGGACCGTCAGCTAGCTTTTTCATGAGAGTAAAGCAATGATAGAATAAGAACTATGTCTGTGTGTTGACTTACTTAATAACCTCCAACCCCCAACCCCTAAAAGTTGTCCAAGCGTCCTTTATCACGTGTCTTTTCGATTGGTTATCATGACATTTAGACAAGACGTGTTTTCGTTGTTTAGGTAAGTCCAAATTTATATCACTTTTTATCTTTTTTTTGTCTAGTCTTTAACTACACTGTTGTGTGCTGACGAAGACCTTGGGTCGAAACGTCCTTTATAGCTGTTATTGTATTCAGTTAGTGAGGATACTAACACAACCTGTGTTATGTCCAGGCAGTGGCGTAGCGAGGTCGGGTGTCACCCGGTGCGGCACTTAATGGTGTCACCGCCCCAGAGGCGTAGCGACCCTTCCCGGGGACAAACCAAATTTTCGATTTGCACCCCCCCCCTCAAACTTTCGATTTGCACCCCCCCCCTCAAGTTTTTCTCTATATATTTTGCACCCCCCCCCCCCCTCGCTACGCCTCTGCGTCCAGGTTAGTTTCAGATAAACAACAACACTTCGTGACGGCCTTCACTACTTTTATTCCGTCTCAAATATATACATTCCCGAGTAGCCCTCGTCCTACCCGCTATCAACTAACCCCTGACAATCATTCACTCCAGCTTTTATACCGCATTCGACCTTGGGATAACAAAACATAAACACACCGGGGTTAACAATACACAAGGGTAAACTCAACTCACACACGCATTCTCCCCTAATTCTAGATTATTTTAACCTATTTTATATCAAACCTACAACTGACCTTTAACAACCAGCTTTATTACTACTCAGTGTTTCTTCCAGACTTTTTTCTCCGGGGAGGGGTACTTGAAATTTTCGGGTAGAGGGGGGGGGGGACTAAAATTTCCGGGGAATGGGGTGGGCACTGGTAAAAGTATATATTTTCTATATAAATTATATTTTTTTCTAGTTCGGTAGAGGTTTTTCGGAAAGGGCTCCGCTTCCCCCCAGTGACGTAGCCAGGATCGTCTCAAGGGGGGGGGGGGGGGGGTTTCCAATTTTTACCCGGGGACAAACTTTCGATTTGCACCCCCCACCCCCTCAGACTTTTGATTTGCACCCCCCCCCCCCTCAAACTTTCGATTTGCACCCCCCTCATACTTTATATATATACCGAGGGGTCTATGGGGGGTATGACCCCCACTAACCCCCCCCCCCCCCTACCTACGCCACTGCTTCCCCCCCCCCCTCTCCTCGAAGTGATGCCTGGAAGGTACACTATCACTACTGTCGACTTACTTGGGAACAGTGGGACCCTAAACCATGCCATGAGGTCGGTGATGCCGTGGATGATGAAGATGCCGTAGATGGTCATGTGTTGCTGATAGATGAGCTTGACGAAGTTGCCGTGCTCGTCCTGGAAGTGGACGCCGCCGTCTAGGAGCTCACCTAGAAAACCTGGGGTTGGAGGTTTGAGAGTTTTAATAGTGTGTGTACGTTTGTGTGTTGGTTTGTGTGCTTGTGTGTGATTGTGTTTGTTTGTGTATTTATGTGTATATAATTGTGTGTGTATTCGTGTGTGTTTTTGTTTTTGTGTTTTTATGTGTTTATGTATATGTGTATGTGTTTGTGTGTGTGTGTATTTGTATGTGTTTATGTATGTTTGTATGTGTATTTTTGTGTGTATTTTTTTGTGTATTTGTGTGTTTGTCTGTGTGATGTTGTGTGTTTTTTGTATCTTTTTGGGGTGTGCATTTGTGCGTGCTTGTGCTTGTGTTTGTGTATTTTTTGTTTTTGTGCGTGCTTGTGTGTATTAGTGTGTGTATTAGTGTGTGTATTAGTGTGTGTATTAGTGTGTGTATTAGTGTGTGTATTAGTCTGTGTTTTAGTCTGTGTATTAGTCTGTGTATTCGTGTGTGTATTAGTGTGTGTAATTGTGTGTATCAAGTGTGAGTGATGTCATATTACGAGGAGGGCGTGACGATGAGTGACGGTGGGGAGGAGGGGGGTCCGTTAAAATCGTCCAAAAAAGGATGACATCAACTATAGATGACATTTAGACTAACATCATTTTTGCATGTTAAATGGAACATTTATTTCTTATTTTTAACATCTCAAACAAAAATTATATCAGAATAAAGAAGGCAAATAGCGCTACAGATTTTTCTCCACCAATAACAAATTGAATTTCACTGACAAATGGTAGTTAAAAAACAAAACAATCAATTTAGAAGACAATGATTACCAACGATGGGGAAGAGGATCTTGAAAATTATCTCAATAGGCAGCGGTCTCTTGATCATGACGTCATAGTGGATGTTTGGTCTCATTTGGACACCTCTGCTCTCAGCCTGGTGGAAAAAAAACGGGACTTGTGACCGTTTGGTAACTTTACTAGCTTCGTGGGACCACAAAAATATTAAAAATGTACGTATGTCAATAATTTGGCTTTTTTTAAATTTCTTTAATAATTCATTGCTAGCACTCGTTGACTTTCTATCTTTCGCATTCACTCTAGCTTCATATATATATATATATATATATATATATATATATATATATATATATATATATATATATATATATATATATATATATATATCTATAATAATAGTTTCGCTGTCTGTCTATCTATCTATCTATCTATCTATCTATCTATCTATCTATCTATCTATCTATCTATCTATCTGTCTGACAAGAACGCTCTAGAGAAAACACAAGCAATTTAAAAACTCTCACAGTGAAACGAAAGACGAAGTATGACGTCGACACATTTAGCATAGAGTTGAAAATAATCTCAAGGCGGAAAGTGCACACAGTAATATAATGACGTCATTGATTATCGCGTAAACATTGAATAAAAAGGAAATGTTGTCTAATCTAAATGGTTTGCGTGAAGAGTTTCTTTCATACAATTCTTCGGGTAGGGGCGAAGCCCCACCCCCGCGTAAGAACGTCTGAGCCCCCCCCCCCCCCCCCTCCCTAACTCAAAAGAAATTTCTTTATCGATACTCTATAATAAAATTACCGCCTAATTAATATGTCTAATCTAAAAAGTGGTTTTCTTGCAATTTCTTTAATGCAATTCTTCGGGTAGTGGCTAAGCGCGACACCAGTGTTTCTTTCAGACTTTTTCCTCCCCGGAGAGGGGTGGTGGTACTTGAAATTTTCGGGGGCGGGGTAGAATTTTCTGGGAGGGGGCGGACACTGGAAAAAGTATATAATTATATTTCGTTGAATGGGACGGTAGACATGTTTTTTTTTGGGGGGGGGGGGGTGGAGGGGTGGGGGAGTGGGGGGGCGGGTGTGTGTGGGGGGGGGGGGTGGTGTGTGGGGGCGGGGTGGGGTGGTGTGTGGGGGTGGGGGGTGGGGGGGTGGTGTGTGGGTGGGTGGGTTGGTTTCAGTGTTTCTTTCAGACTTTTTCCTCCCCGGAGAGGGGTGGGGGTACTTGAAATTTTCGGGGGCGGGGGTAGAATTTTCTGGGAGGAGGCGGACACTGGAAAAAGTATATAATTATATTTCGTTGAATGGGACGGTAGACATGTTTTTTTTTTGGGGGGGGGGGGGGGTGGAGGGATGGGGGGTGGGGTGGGGGGGGTGGGGTGGTGTGTGGGGGGTGGGGGTGGTTTTAGTTTAGAGAAAAGAGACAGCACTATCAGCCTAGCGCCCGTTGTACCCTTCCTCAACGGGCCATTTTTCTAGTATATATATATATATATATATATATATATATATATATATATATATATATATATATATATATATATATATATATATATATATTTATATAAGCTTAAGCTTATCATCGAATTGTCCATCTAGAAGACATCGCTTCTAGCCATATACTAACACGCGTTTATTCTCTTAACCTTGATTTTGTGTCCAAAATAATGTATTCACCATAAGGTACTCACCATAATTTACTCACCATAATGTACCCACCATAATGTATTAACATAATATACTCACATAATGTACTCACATAATGTACTCACTATTCTGTACTCACCATATTGTACTCACCAAGATATACTCATCATAAAGTACCCACCATGCTATACTCACCATAATGTACTCACTATATTGTACTCACCAAGATATACTCATTATAAAGCACCCACTATACTGTACTCACCATAATGTACTTACTATAAGATACCATAATGTACCCACCATAAAGTACCCACCATAAAGTACCCACCATAAAGTACCTACCATAATGTACTCACCAAGATGCACTCACATAATGTACCCACCATAATGTACCCACCATAATGTACCCACCATAATGTACTCACCAAGATGTACTCACATAATGTACTCACCAAGATGTACTCACGTAATGTACTCACCAAGATGTACTCACATAATGTACTCACCAAGATGTACTCACATAATGTACTCACCAAGATGTACTCACATAATGTACTCACCAAGATGTACTCACATAATGTACTCACCAAGATGTACTCACATAATGTACTCACCAAGATGTACTCACATAATGTACTCACCAAGATGTACTCACATAATGTACTCACCAAGATGTACTCACATAATGTACTCACCAAGATGTACTCACATAATGTACTCACCAAGATGTACTCACGTAATGTACTCACCAAGATGTACTCACATAATGTACTCACCAAGATGTACTCACATAATGTACTCACCAAGATGTACTCACATAATGTACTCACCAAGATGTACTCACATAATGTACTCACCAAGATGTACTCACATAATGTACTCACCAAGATGTACTCCCTGAAAGCGTGCAACATCCACCACACAGCTATAATGATAAAGAAAAGTCCCTCATCCACGTGACCCCAGAATGACCCCATGACCGGAAAGTGGTGTTATTCGACCCCTGACGTCAACACACAATCTGCAATAACAAATGATATTAAATGATAACAATCTCCCTACACAAGCTACGAGTGGAGTGTTTTTTCTGTAGGCGACGTTATTTTAAACTCGATATTCCTGAGCTGGATTTATTTTAACGATATATATCGCTATATGGGCACCTGCTTATTGGTAACATGGCTGTAAAATTCCTTTAAAAAGACACCAAAAAAATCAGTGTTTATGTGGGGGAAAAGATTAAATCAGGTCAGCTTGGCGAATGACCTGGATCTGTTAGTTCGATATATCGATCTACTAAATCACTAGGTTTATTGACCTTCGATCGATAAATCTGAATCATGATTAAATTTCAGATTCCTCTGTTGTTGTTTTTTTAAGGTTTTAGTTTCTAAAGAAAATGCGTAAAAAAATCGAAAATTATAATCTTTAAGTGAATAATATTTTAAATTATATTACAGCATTGTTTTCTTCTTAGTGTTTTAGTATATGATTTTGTGATATTTTGCAAGCAGATTATTAGTTTCTACAATTATTATTCAATGTTTGCATTTTTAAAATAACGAAGGGGCAGAACCCATATAGAGTTGACTCTCTTTGAGATTGTTTCCCCTAAACTATTTGGTTTAATCATGTGAGGTTAAAATAAGCAAGAGTAATAAGACGAGTGTAGTAGTAATGGTAGGGGAAGCAACCAGTGTTTCTTTCAGACATTTTTCTTCGATGGGAGGGGGGGGCACTTGAATTTTTTTTATTTTTTGGGGTGTATACAATTTTCCGGGGGGGGGGGGGGGAGCGGACACTGGTAAAAGTTATATTTTCTATATAAATCTCTGTATAAATTTTCTACATAAATTATGTGTATACATTTTAGTCATCTCCCCCCCCCCCCTCCCCCAGAGTAGATTACTAAAAGAAACTACGGAAGCAACGTACTGCAGTAATAGTGGTAGACCAAAGGAGATTTTCTTTCATTTCTTTTTTTGCTTAATCTAGATGCTACAATATATTATGTCACTGTTATATAAAATAAAGTGGGGTGGGAGATATATTTCGAAGATTCGTGATTTTAACTTTACTTTCTAATTGCTGCAATAACTGCGAAGGTGCCGCCGAAGGGAAAACGTGATAGATTGAGTTCCAGATTGAGCAGGTAGACATGCACCAGGAGAGTGCCACGTAAAACGGTTTGGTTCTACTTGAAGCAGACGCGACACGGTATGCCAGCCATGCGTACAATTTTCTCACGCAGAAAGTTGACTCCTGCCAGCCATGCGTACAATTTTCTCACGCAAAAAGTTGACTCCTCAATCTAAAAGTACAAATACATCTATGTGTTTTTGTTTTGGGTTTTTAGGACGTCCCTGAAAAACATAGCCTTCACAAATATGACGGTCTGAATATAATTGTCAGTGTTTGTGTTTTGATAAGCTAACCAAACACTTCTTATTCGAATAAAGATATATTGCGATTTAAACTTTCGTTAATCTTCGCCCTCGGTAGAGTTGGTAGTTATGGTTTTTTAGAAAGTCCTTAGCAACTGTCTTACTGGCCCGTGTTGTATGTCCTTTAACTGTATTATTGTTCCCCTTGGTTTAGCGATCATCACCCTTAATTGTGTCATTGTCTCCGTTAACTTTATAATTATCTCCCTTAACTTTATAATTATCTCCCTTAACTATATCATTATTTCCTTTAACTATGTCATTATCTCCCTTAACTGTGTCATTATCTCCCTTAACTGTGTCATTATCTCCCTTAACTGTGTTATTCTCTCCCTTCGCTGTGTTTTTGTCTTTCTCAAATTATCCCCCTTGTTTAAATTTTCTGTACCATCAATACCTTGTAAACTAACACCACTAACACATCACTAACACCTTAAAGTTTTTCTTCTTCAGACATGTAATTTACAGCGTCAGTTTACCTTGCAAGTTCGCTTTACTATTACTGTTTTCATCATCGGCTTGAAACTTACAACTTTTTTTTTTTTATGAAAAAGACTAGGCATATTTTAATTCTCTTTGAGTATATTACAAATGCTGGAAAATAATCCAACCATTCATACAACTGTCAAGACTTCATAACAGGAATACATGGACACCATTGCCTAGTTGGCTAACAATAAAACAAGTTATGTGGGATTTCCAACATTTACAATAAACCAAATAAAAGTAAAGGAAGAAATAATTGACTGATATGTTGATTCACTTAAACTTTAGTTTGTACACTAGTGCTAACATACAATCAATCCTAATATAAAAAGCCTTTCTGGGGTGGGCTGCATAGTCCTTTTAGTCTTGTCCTTTCAACAAATGTACAGCATTATGTTTTATTGATTCATTAATGATAACAAACAAAAACAGTATACCAAACATGGATTTTCTTACAAAAAAGTAAATTTAAAAAATGAAATCAAGTGTTTACTGATCCCAGTCCAAATGTATGAAAGATTGTATCCAATTAAACAAACATTTTACATTTCATTGAAAAGTTGAGTAAAATAACAAATACAAACTTGACTGACATTTAAAATACTGCATTGACATTGTTTAAAAGTAGAACTGTATTAGGAAGATGAGCTCTCATCATCAGATTTCATCCGGTTGGTTGATAGGTCAGGCTGGTCCTTTACACTGGTGGAATTGTGATTTGGCTCTTGTGCAGATTGGTCAAGTTCTTGGATCTGTGTTTCTGTATCCTCAGGACTTTCTGCCTCTTCATCATCAGATATCACATCCTTGAGTAATTCCTTCAGAGCTTCAGCTTCTTGTGCCATTTCAGACAGTCTTGTGTTTTCCTCACGTAACTTTTCTACTTCTATTGTCAGTCGTTCATTTTCGACCAGTGCTTCCTTTAGGCCTCTTCTCCTTTCCTCCGCTAAATCTTTCCAATATGTTTCTGATACTTCATCATTGTTCACGCTTGAAACTTACAAATAAACGGCGTATCAAAGGCACGCTATAAATTTTCTCAACAGCTCCTTAAGATCTACAAGCTAAACGAACTTCGCCGCTTGAAATTCAAAAGGTTTTTTCCATGGTTTGAAGTCGACGCTTTGTAAGCTGTTTTACCTGTTTGGGCACGTCTGGCCTTTGAAATATATTGACGCCAGAACGCGAAGAAAATCAATAAGGAAATATATGTACCCCAAAGATCCTGTTCCTCAAAGACAAACAGAAGGCTTCCTCCTTTGTAAATTACTTCCACTCTGAGGGTGACTTCCCCTCCCTTTAATGACTTCCCCTATTTTGTTACTTCCCTTCTCTGTGTGACTTCCCCCTTATCAGATATATTGTTTATCAGTATCATTGTATTAGACGTGTCGCCTCTTTACATACACACAGGCACACATCACACACGTGTATATGTAGGCATATATATATATATATATATATATATATATATATATATATATATATATATATATATATATATATATATATATATATATATATATATATATATATATATATATATATGTATATATATGCGTTGGAGAGTAAAGTTAAAAAACAAGTAAACTTTAATATGTATGATCACTTATACAGCCTTAGACTAATAGCTACTTCCACCCCCCTCCCCCTCTTTTTTTCTATCCTCCCCACCCCGATTTCGCAATTTCTAGAAGTCACTAAATTACATGCGACATGTAAAAGACCCAAGTCTCCTGAATCCACTTAGATTTTAATGGACGACATTGATCAGTATAAGGGGTATAGATATGTTAATAAGTGTTGTTGTTTTTTAAACCAGCTTATTAGTCATGCGTCTCTAAGTTTAATTGTACCAGTAGAATAACACAACACCGTCAACCCAAACGAAGCTTCTATTGAAGGTAAAGAAACGAATTGAATAAATTAAATACAGATTCAGAGTGGACTGTATATAGGGGTAGGTGGGGTGGGAGGAGGGGGTAGGAGGATCAACAAACACTTAGCAGTTTTTAAATATTTTAAACCACGCGCTTCTATTCTCAACTGTTAAGTAAAGCTTTATGAAATTTGCTTTGAAACGAGTTATTTTTTTTTAATTTTAAATGCATGTTTAGAAGACAATAGAAAATGCAAGTCGGTGAAGATTCCTTTTGACTCAAAAGTTGTGCATGTTTCCCCACGTTTACATAACGAATGACATGTTACTCCTTATTTCTAATTCTACCTAAACGGCCGGGTTCCTTTCATGTATCTCCATGTATCCCCAACCCCCGAAGTAAATCCCCCCCCCCCCCCACCCCCCGGCGGAAGTAATTTACATACTCTTACCAGTGGCCGCTACTTGGAAAATTTAGTCCGCCTCCCAACCCCCTTCCCCCCCTCCCCAACCGAAAGTTTCAAGTACCACTTAGGAGAAAAAAAGACTGAAAGAAACATTGCTAAAGAGTCCATAATCTAAGCCCTAACGAATTGTAACTGTAATCAATAAACTCATACTATTGGCTAACATCAACTGTAACTCATAAGCTTAGCAAGTGTTGTTGCGCATTATGCTAAGTATAACTGGCACTAGGCAATAGCTGTATGTAACCATATAACGGAATTGAACCCCAAATTCTTCGACTGAGTAAAACAAAAATTAAAAAGTACAACTAGCTTAACGTTTAATTAGGAAATCGATTTCCCATCAATTTATCACGTGAGTCCTGGCGATCAAATCTCAACCTAGTTAATTAAAAACTTAAATGAGCTTCGGTGTAATTAAAATTAATTAACCTGTGATCAAATATGTCTAGTTTGTCTTGACGCAACCAATGTGACTGCGCAGTAATGTATTCCACCCATAAAGGACAAGTTTATTTTAGGTCAACTTATGTAAATTAAGATTCGACCCAACACTGATTTTTTTTAACTTAGTCATTGTTTACACGTTGCTAGGATACCGGTATTTAGGGGGGACCCACGCTCGGACTAGGCCATTGTATAGCTGACATGATTATTTTTTCATGTTGCTATTTTAAACTGCTAGACTACAAGTCTGTTCATGAACAAAATGTGTTGATCGCGGGTTCAGATACGACTTGAACATCTGTGGGTGTTTGGACCCGTCAATAAAAGACATTCGCCGTTCGAATGTGATTGATAAATTAAGCCATCGATTTTCAGTCGACAGTTACAGCTAATCATACCAGCCAGGAGACTTTATAGCAAATGAATATGTTGAATAACAGAGAAAGCACAAAGTCATCGAAAATTCTACTGCTAAATATATTAAACAGCCTACAGATGAATATATAATCAAACAGCTTACAGATGAATATATCATCAAACAGCTTACATATAGCAAACCGCTTGTCATATTTAGAATTTCGCATCACAGTTTAGCAAAACAAAATATAACAAATAGCTGAGCAATCGAGGTCAACCTATCTATACTCAAATCCTAACTAGATCTTGCAGTTAACCAATCACACACCAGTTCCTTCTATCTCCTTTTCACTATCGAGTTTCGAACTCCCTCCCTAATCGATGGGAACATATTGATTTTATTCTTCAATTTCTACTGGAATTGATTTCCTGATTATGACAGTAACTATAGCAAGTCCAGCCCATTAAGCTATCAACGATATCACTTTGCTAATTCAGTATGTGAAACTACATTATGGTTTTACTATTGGTAAAGTTCTAGTATGTAGGCAGTAAATATTTAAAAAATGAACAGACGCTTTACTTTTCGTATCATATCAGACTTCTTCGTTTCTTTAAACTTGTTGCACAAAAAGGCTTACATTTCTAGTAAGGTTTATCGTATGGTCGTACAGTAGAGTGGTAAACGCTAGTCCGAAAGTCTTGAGTTTGGATGCATATTTGCCTTAGGCCTTAAGGCAATGTAAAGAAAATTAAGGTCAGCCGTTTTCTCACGTCGTTGTTTCATCTTCGGAATTCTGTCCATGCCGTACATTTTTCCATTTCGACATTTTGTTAAAATACATGTCGGTCTTTTTTCAACATCGGCCTTTACCTCATACTGGCCTTTTGTCTATGTCATTCTTTTTTCTATGCCGGCTATTTATCTGTATCGGCCATTTGTCTATGTCGGTCTTTTTAGTGCCAGCTCAAATTTAATGCACACAGATTTGGGGTTACTTTCAGCTAAGTTTTAGTTTCAGTGTTAGGGTCAGGGTTAAGGTTAGGTTCAAGGTCATGGTTTGGGTTAGGGTTAGGGTTGGCCAGGATTAAAACATAAAGGTACACGCCTTATATCCTCTTTCATATAATCTTTTTTGGTCGTAAGAGTTAACTTTGTCGAAGCTTATCTTGACGAGATCCCAACTAGCATATTCACGTTTGATTTCAGTCTTCTTGACAGCTAACAACATATCAACCTACGTTTTACTACTTAAAAGCACCCTGGCGGAATATTTTGGTCAGCAAATTTTGTCATGATCTTGAAAAACTTAGGACACCCGTACCAATGGAGAGTGAGACGACACTTGGACGATACAGAGCGGGTTACGCAAGACACGTTTCTACTAATCACGTATTTCAACCGTGACACATTCGTCGAGTCAACGTGGCGACTACGCGTGACACAATTCTGGGACCTGTGTCTACGTGACGAGTACCCAGTCTACGTGACAAGACGCGGTCACGGTTGACCTAGCACACGAAATCTACTGGGTTTTTAGACCCTTGCCCTCATTTTCAAGTCAACCCCCCCCCCCCCCCCGAGATTATCTCCGCCCCAAACACTAAATCCTAACGACGCATACATATTTTAACACTTTGTCGAGGGAATAAAAACGAGCGCCCATATTGGACTCAAGAATCGCATTGACTTCTTGGACCTCCGCAACTCATCCAGTGTTTCTTTAAGGTATTCTGGAGGGGGAGGGACGAAGTACTACTAAACCCTCCACCTTACTTGAACGAAAAAGAATGTGTATAGAAATTATATACTTTTACTTCCGGAAATTTAATCCGCCCCCTCCCCAACTCCGAATTTTTGAGCCCCTCTTTCAAGAAAAAAAGGCTGAAAGAAACACTGAACTCATTCCAAGTGGTACCTATAATATCGATATGGGGAAGACTGATTGACGTTCAATATAATGAACTCTATCGATCGATCACTTACTTGCATACCATGAGGTGCATGGGGACTATGGGATAGTCAAACGGGGTAAGGTGTGAACGGGGGGGGGGGTTGTTCTAGTGCACTAAGGGTGCCGTTGAGGATGTGTTATGTAACGTTAGCATTCACGTGTCATTACTTGTAAGGCTTTAAGACGGTGGTGATTAAGTAGTGGGGGCAATTAATTAAAATGTGATAGAGGTTAGCGAAATATTAATTTAATGACCTCTAAAATAATTTTATTTATAACGTAAAGCATGTTTGAGGAATTGTATTCTGATTTTTTAATATACATTTAGCTGTGTGGTTAATGTGATTAATGTGGTCAATGTGGTTTCACTGTATTAAATGTGTTAAATTAGCTATGAAGAGACGGCATGGTCTAGAGGTAGGACGCCAGACTGCTAACCCGAAAGTCTCAACCTCGAATCCGGGTTCAAGCTAGTAGAAAGTCCATGAGTTCAGTCAGTTATGAATGTTAGGGAAGGTAAAGGCGAGGTCACAGAAACAGGTGAACTCTACTTCACATTTTATTTCGATTTCTATAACAAATGTCGCCACTCGTAAACTATTATGTGCGGATAGATTTCTGGATTTGATAAACTTAAACAAGGATGTTTGTCTAGACATTTGTGTCAAAACAGGTTGTGGTCAAAAGTCCCACTTTTAAGTTATATACATGAGCTTAAAAAAAGCCGGGATAGGTGTTGTTTTAGGAATTTAGGTTAAAAAACCGTCATGGGTTATGTAAGTCGGTATATTATTTCCAGGGTTCGTTAAAGCTATGTAGTACCTAAAATGGTTCATTCATGTAAAGAGTTACTTTCATGACAATTCGCCCCACACCCCCGAACGAAATAGAATGTACGAGTTTTATTTTCTACTTTTCAGTAATTCATAATTTGTGAATTCGACATTACCAATGCTGCCACTGAAAATATTTGCTTTAAAACACTAACCCCCCCCCCTTTCCCCTAGCCCCGACCCTACACCCCCCCCCCCCCCCCCGTGAAAGCAGCCTCCTCTAAGTTACCTCCTGTAAGTTTAAAATCGGTTCAAACTAAATTATCTGCCCCTAATAGCCGTCACGAAACCCGGCTCTACGATTTGTAAACATTTAGCGTGACCACAGCTCACCAGACCATGTGGGGGTGGGGTGGGGTGGGGGTGGTAGTGATAGTGATAGAGAGAAAGAGAGGGGACTGTAAGGCGCGCTTACAGCTTGTTTTCTAACGACTCCCAGAAGAGAATTATATATATAGATAAATAGATATAGGAAATATATACTTTTACCAGTGTCTACCCAACCCCCAATCCCCAGCCCAACCAAAGTTTCCCCCGAGGAAAACAGAAAGAAACACTATTCATGTTCTGGTTGCATAGATTTGTAAGACTAAGGGCCACTCAACACTGGCATCTCTCCGTCGTTTTTGTGTTGATCAGTTGGTCGAATCTCGTAGAGTCGTGGTCTTGTCTGCATTGAAAAGTCAATGACTGAACTTCACTCACCAATGTAAAAATATTGAGTACTTGGGTTGGCGATAGTTCGGAGTTGTTAACTTCACTCACCAATGTAAATATACTTGGATCTAAGTTTGGCGTTAGTTTGGTGTTGTTAACATCACTCACCAATGTAAATATACTGGGTACTTGGGTTGGCGATAGTTCGGCGTTGTTGTTAACTTCGCTCACCAATGTAAATATACTTGGTCCTAGGTTTGGCGTTAGTTCGGTGTTGTATTTCAACTTCAATTAGTCATTTGATTTTGATCGTGCGTTGAATCAGTTAGCATGGGGGGGAGGGGGGTCATGTAAATACTAAAGAAAGGTGTGGGAGTCATGGAGATTTTAGAAGAAAATATTGGGATCATTTATATGAAAAAAGAAGATAGGGGCAGTGGCGTAGCGAGGTCGGGTGTCACCCGGTGCGGCACTTAATGGTGTCACCCCCCCCCCCAGAGGCATAGAGACCCTTCCCAGGGACAAACTTTCAAATTTTCGATTTGCACCCCCCCCCCCTCAAACTTTCGATTTCCACCCCCCCCCCCCTCAAGTTTTCGATTTGCACCCCCCCCCTCCTCAAACTTTCGATTTGCACCCCCCCCCCCCCTCGAGTTTTTCTCTATATATTTTGCTATTTTTTGCCTTGGTGTCACCCCCCTAAATGGTGTCACCCGGTGCGGTCCGCACCCCCGCCCACCCCCTCGCTACGCCCCTGGATAGGGGTAAGTCATATTAAGAAATAAGGGATCACGTAGATATCAGAAGATGTTGGGGTCACGTAGATATCAGAAGATATGGGGGTCATTTAGATAAATGAAATAAAGATGTGTCTTTGTCGCTTCCATAAGAAATTTTAGAAATTTTTGTTGTGCTGATATCAGATGTTGATATGGGGGTCGGATCTTGAACGACGTGGAAGTTCATATTTTGAAAAAAAATCCGAGGTCGACATTGGGTAGGGGTCATTTATTGACCAATATTAGAACCATCAGATGAGATCGATAAATATCAGGGTCAGCCATGATAGATATTAGATATCAGTGTCAGTAATATCTTCTTAAATGTTTGATTATAGGAGGAAAGTTAGCAATCATAACTTCAATGATTGCATACAACATATCCAGCAAATAAAACAAAACATGACGAAATACTTGCATTCGTAAAACATGACATTAAATGCTTGACTTAGCTTAAATTACGAAACTCTAAAGTTTCATTCAAGTCATACGTGACTTAGCACGTAAACAATTTTTTACGAGAGTGGACCGATATGTTGCGACATCTCCTAGAATTCTTGGCACACGTACATTCTGGTTTATAAGTAAATAGTTGGGGTAATATTTTTTGTTAGGATTCGTGGCCTAGGAGATGGCCAAATCGGGCTGGTAAAGTGAAATGCTAGAACTAGGTCGAGGACTGTTAAAAGTGTCAGGTGATCTAGAATCTGGGGCACATTTGACGTTTTACGCATGGCTGAACACGTTATAGGTGCGGTCAAAACATGTTTTACCCTGATGGAAGATGTTTCTCTAATATGTCCTACCATTGTGTAAAATGCTCTTAAAATATGTCCTACCATTGTGTAAGATGTTCTTAAGATATGACATACCATTGTGTAAGATGTTCTTAAAATATGTCCTACCATTGTGTATGATGTTCTTAAAATATGTCCTACCATGGTGTATGATGTTCTTAAAATACGTCCTACCATTGTGTAAGATGTTCTTAAAATATGTCCTACCATTGTGTAAGATGTTCTTAAAATACGTCCTACCATTGTGTAAGATGTTCTTACAATGTGTCCTACCATTGTGTAAGATGTTCTTAAAATATGTCCTACCATTGTGTAAAATGTTCTTAAAATATGTCCTACCATTGTGTAAGATGTTTTTAAAATACGTCCTACCATTATATAAGATGTTCTTAAAATATGTCCTACCATTGTGTAAGATGTTCTTAAAATATGTCCTACCATTGTGTAAGATGTTCTTAAAATATGTCCTACCATTGTGTAAGATATTCTTAAATATGTCCTACCATTGTGTAAAATGCTCTTAAAATATGTCCTACCATTGTGTAAGATGTTCTTAAGATATGTCCTACCATTGTGTAAGATGTTCTTAAAATATGTCCTACCATTGTGTAAAATGTTCTTAAAATATGTTGTACCATTGTGTAAGATGTTCTTAAAATATGTCCTACCATTGTGTAAAATGTTCTTAAAATATGTCCTACCATTGTGTAAGATGTTCTTAAAATACGTCCTACCATTGTGTAAGATGTTCTTAAAATATGTCCTACCATTGTGTAAGATGTTCTTAAAATATGTCCTACCATTGTGTAAGATGTTCTTAAAATATGTCCTACCATTGTGTAAGATATTCTTAAATAT